GTTAGCATCCAATCGTGTCAGGATCGTTCAGGGGGAAAACCTCCATGCTGGATTACAGATAGGACTTTAATAAGATAAACGCAGGAGAGATCGTCTTGCGGAATAATCCGATTGTGAAGTGGAGATGCTTTGAAAATGCTTCACTCAAACTGGCATTTAACCACTTGAATTAGAAGTCTTATTCACAACGAGGATAAACTGTGCTGGAACAATCGGTTTCTCAGCTGAAGGCTATGAATGAGAAACTGCGTTTGCTTTTGGAGAGAAGAGATGCGTGTTCGTTTTTTGACAGATAGCTATAATGCCGTTTACTCGAGGAGTTAAGTGACCGAGGATGCACAGTTCTCGCACTGACTCATTGTGTTTTGAAATGCGCTGCACTCCATGTGTCATCTCTCTAAATGTGTGAATAAGGCTGAAGATCATCTGCATTGTGGCGCTTGAAAACTCCTTTCCTGACTGACATATACTAAATCTCTTTACTGCCTTTTGTAAGATCTAAATATAAAGTGAAATATATTAGTAGCAACAACGAGGGGAAACAACAGTTTAGTGCATATTTATTCCCTTGGAAACAAGCTGTGAAAGCATAAAGGGGTCAGATTTACATGGTTAGCTTGCATGGAATCATAATGTATAAATATGAACATTCCTCTTATATCATATTACCCTGAAAATTGCATTTGTAGAAAAGAAAAGCCTCATTCTGTCATTTGCAGCAGCTTGAAATTCTCATAACACAGGAGTGTGTTACAGGATTTCTAGTCTAGCTCTACAGTCAGAGTAATTTATCATGATGATTGCTGTACAATAAGGACACCTCGGTCCACCACGGTATGTGCAACGCCTAACAAGCCACCAAATATTTCGTAGAAGATCATATATGGAATAAAAAAGGTAGTGTGTCGATAACAACTTAAAATTCAATGCTAGATGCAAAGATATGCAAACAACCATAACAACCAAAATCTAAAAAATAAAATAAAATAAAATGTGATTGTCTGAAATCAATGGCTTATAGCTGTAGATGATATATCACAGCCATTCCTTTGGGGGCCTTAATGACAACAAGCTATTATAAAACAAAGACAGAATAAAATTGCACTGATGCAGACAGAAGGTTCTAAATAAACACTTTACATCCAAGATTAGACAGAAAACACAAAGATCCAAACAAATCAAGAAATGAAGTCACTACAATGATCAGCACACACTAATCATGATGAAGATGAATGAAGACTCGAAGGAGATTGCAACCTATTTTGGCTGTAATAAGGAAATAAGTGGGATAAACCCGAACGTGTCAGTCACAGGGCCAAAGCAGGGAGACCTGCAAGCATCCACTCTTACATCTACACCTATTTTTAGAGGGTAGCTTTTTAATAATGACAAATCTTTTTCTCAGTTAAACATGTCGCAAAATTCAAACAGCTTTAGGCTACAACTGTGTAAAAATACGACCTTTTAAATGTTACAGCATGTCATTATTTATTTAGCACAAATTAAGTCAAAATGCAGTGTGTGGAAAAACAAAGTGCACCCTTACTGCTTTCAGAAAAATTAAGATGGATGGATGCCATGGAAGAAAGACATCAGCTATGATCTTAAAGAAGCAACTGATGCTGCTCATCAATCTAGGAAGGGCTACAATGCCATGCCCAAACAATTTGAAGTCCATCTTTCTAGAGTCAGAAAGGTTATTCACAAGTAGAAACCATTCAGGACAGTTGTCAATCTTCCCAGGAGTGGACATCCCAGCAAATTCATCACAAGGTCAGACTGTATTATGACACGCATCTATTTCCTTCTGCTTATCCATTTCAGAGTTGCGGGGGTGCCGGAGTCTATCACAGCTGTCATAATGCAAAAGAGATGCACCTTGGTCAACAAAACCCAGGAGCTACATCTCAGGCTCTACAGGCCTCAGCTGATATGTTAAAATTCATGACATCACAATTAGAAAAAAGACTGAAGAAGTATGACTTGTTTAAAAGAGCTGCCAGGATAAAGTGTCTTCTCCCTAAAAAGACTGTGGCAGCAAATCTGGAACAAACCGCTAACCTTGCTGGATGCAACCAAACTGGAGATATTTGCTCACCACATGTGGCAAAAACTAAACACAGCACATTAGCACAAACACCTCATACCAACTGCAAAGCACAGTGGTGGAGGGGTGATGGTTTGGGCTCCTTCTGAATTTTGGCTTGGATTTTGATAAATAAACAACAGCACTATGTAATATGGCATGTGTTGCCAAGTTGTACTCACCTACAGATTTTATTATTATTTTTTTTTATCATATCTGGGTATGTAAAACCTGAGAGGAGGAGCGTGCACTTTCGTTTTACCGTGGCTGTATTTTTAGTACAAGCTGGGACCATTGTTCACGAGCAGCAATTTCTGCTCCCTGTGTGCTGTGCCAACAGCCTGTCGAAAGAGAACCGCCACTTCTTCATCTTCTTGATGTATTGAATCACTTCTTCCTTTCCTTCATCTAGTGGTCCTTGCTGCTCGCCTCAGCACATCGTAGCTGAACACCTTGCCTGTCTGAACCCAGTCCTGCTTCGCCAGCTACTGACATACAGATGCTTTAATTAGGTGTGGGTGTTACAGTGCAGACCTTTAGCTTTAACTTTCAAGGAGAGCTGGCACTGAATCTTGACAGTGTACAGGTGTGTAAGTTTAGTATTTTACATTCACCAGTATATTTAGCCCGTCACATCATTTAGTGTCACCTATGGAAGTGTGCTGAACCCCCCCAGTGCAAAAGGCAAGGACATTCTGCACATTCGCCTTTCTATAGCATGTTAAATTATGCGAAAGTACTGAGTAGCCAATGAATAGCTATTAATATGATGGTTGGGGACGTGGACTCCTATATTACATTTATGACCCTCTGAAAGGCTCAATAAATCATTTCACTGCTTCAGTTGAGCAGTTCCACTTTTATTATATATAATACATTGACATAAATGACCCACATGTGACTCTGTAGGATCATATAGCAAAGGGAAGTTGCTCTAAAATGAAATTCTATGTTTATCTGTATGTCTATTCTGTATATACCATTCCATCATTCACTGCACAATAACTGCAAACCAGACACGCAGGCACAGCCTGTGATTTAACAGCAAAGCCTCTGTCCCAAGGCCATATCGTAATTTCTCCCTGGCCGTTTTCCACAACCTAAAGTTATAGTTACTGGGAGCATAAAATTCTTGTAGTAATGGGAATAATTGATGACTGGCTATTTATGGGGATGGGTGCAGTCTGGCGTAACAAGGTCAGAGATGTGATTTGCAGGACAGTGCCTGGAGAATAAAGAGAAAAAAAAAGGGGACCCTTTGCCTCAGATAAGAGGGAACAGAGAGCGGAGGAAGTTTGATGTTTACATTTAAGGTGAATCACAGCAGCTCAGAACAGGATGCAGTAGTTCATTCAGTGACACGCTCAAAAGCACAGTTCAGTTATGAAAATAACTGAAGAACAGATTACACTGCATGATGTGAGACCCATCCGGCGCTCTATTTTTATTAACTGCAGTGTATTTTCATCAGCTTGAAACTAAACAGCTGGAAGTGCAAGTATATCATCTGTTCTAATGAGGAGCACATTGCAGTGTCACTTTAAGTGGGCTGCATTAATGCATTCGTAGCTCTATAATTAGCAAGATACAATTTTGCAAAACAGGTTATTCAGCAGTGACTGCGGAAGCCACCGCTAAGCTGATTTGATTTTCTGCCTCACCTGTAAGGGGCTGTTAAGGAGGAAGGAGAGGGAGGGGAGGACGGGGTGATTGGATAGGAGGCAGGGACGTAGTAGAGTCACATAAATGTTTTCCTTGAGCAGAAGATGGTGTGATTTCAAATAAATAAATTTTTAAAAAAACTCCAAGAGTCCCTCTGGCTGTAAACAGCTGCATATTTCAGGGTTAGTGATAGACCACACTTACTCTGCTCGAGCATTTTCAAGCTAATCCCAAGGATTAGGAGGAGGTAAGTGTTACCTGTAAGATGCTGAATCTTGTGCTGAAACAAACTGGATTTATTTATGATGCTATATTGTTTTCTATAAATAAATAAATAAATAAATAAATAAATAAATAAATGTGGGGGTGATGTTGCTGACCATGGTGCTGAAACCACAATTTTTATATGGGTACACCTATTATCAGTCACTGTAGGGACTGCTGGTCTTTTTATAGCTAAGGCATTGCTCAGACGACTTGTAATGTATTTCTCGATAGCTTGATGTCAGTCTCATTCACAGCCTGACATTATAAAATCTGACGGGAGCACCTTTCTCTGTCCACCTACAGCTCTATTATTTTTTCGCAGGCAATCACCATTAAGAAGAAAAGCTGTTTTGTATCCGAATGGAAGCATCACCAATAGACTCTTAAGTGACAGATGGCCGGCTAAACAGCCTCGCAGTGTTCTGGTGCTGACTGTGATGATTTAATTAAATTAATAATTTTCTCAGGCCATTTTCGCGGGACAAATGAAGTTTCCCAGTGGGTATTCCACAAAGCCCAGTCGAGAGAAACTCGATTACAAGTTGTACACAGCCGCGATCCTGCGCACAAATTGGATCTGAATTACATTCCGCGAAATATGGATTAATCAAGATGGTGTGGGTTAGAGGAAATGCCACGGGAGTGGTGGTGGCACGAATATCATCCATCATAAAGCAGCATGAGCCGTGTCTCCTCAAGCCACATCGGATCCCTGCAGAGTAAGACTAATTAGCGAGAGGGAATGTTTTCTGAGCAGGATGAAAACTCTGACGGGCCTGAGACGTCGTCTCCTCGCGCACCACGCGCATCTCAAAATAAAGCGCTCCCCTCGTAAAAACACGCGCGCGCGCGCGTCTCTCGCACGCCCGGAAAGCCAGTGCTTATCATTTGAGTGCACTCAGTTCCCCCTCCAGACCACCAGTGTGGTTCATTCCAGCGCCTCTGTATCCTCAGTGCGAGGTGTGCTTCTGCTGTCATCCGCACTGAGCGAGGCGGTTCAATCACTCCTCTGACAGAGCAGCAAAGTGAAATACGATGGAGAGCGAGCAGAGCTGGTCTTGTGCTGGACGCGTATCTGGCAACGGGGTGAGTTAACAATGAATTGATACGAATCATTGGCCGCCCAGTGTTTTTTCCCCCTTTCTTATTTTCTAACAAGCAACGGGGCTATAATTCCTTTTTACACTGGAGTTCAAAAGTGGGGACGCGTTTTGTGAGGTGGTGTGTAACAAGTGTCTTTGGCTTGATTACCGTCTGCAAGCAGAGACGAGCGCAGATAGGAAACCTCACGGGACAAGTGATCTCCACTGAGATGAGATTTCTGACTATTAAAATGGTAAAGTTTGATTGTTTTTGTCAAATTGCCGTAAATTTCACAGAACCACATAAAGAGTTGTAAAGATCATGTGATCCGAGGATTTGGAAAACAGGAGACCCACAGAGAAAGAGAGATTAGACTGGTATGAAATCATGGTAGAGGTGCTGAACGCACAAGAGATTTAGAGGTTTGCTTTATGCTGCCTTGCGCTTTTATTATCACTCAAGTCAGAGGACACATCTACATAGCTCCCCTCCATACACCTCCAAATGTCAGCTCCGAGATTCCCCATGGGGAAAATTGTATAACAAATGAATATACAACAGTTTCAGAGTGGCGAGCTTAACACAACGAGTATGTCATCCACACTCTTGCAGATTTAATCAAAAGGCTGTGGAAGTGCTTTTGGACACAAAGATGAAAATGAAAATAACAAAACAAATTCCTTTCTTACCCAACTCTGTTTCTGGAGTAATCCAGGGAATATATTGTTTAAAATTGCAAGCTGATTGTAGTAGTATTAAAAAAAAAACCCCCACATATAATCAGAAGCAGCATAAATAAAGGGAAAGCAAAACTCTTTCCCTTTTACAGCAGGAGGTCAGAAATAAGTGCAACAATAAAAAGCAATCTTAGCAAACGTATAAAAGGCATTCTCCTATTTTTGCTGCCCCCAATCAAATAAAGGAATGGCTTCTTGATTGCTGCAGTATTGGCTGCAGTGTGGTTATCCTTCAAAAGAGTCTGAAGTTCAGAAACAGATTTCAAATGCAGATAGATTTGCTCATTTGAACTGCATTATCTTTCGCAGGTCTGTCAGAATCATGAAAATTCGTCACGGTTATAAATATCATTTCTCTTTGGTCCTCCTACCACAAAGTACGCTGTGTACAGATCTTCTCAGACAGATCTTTTCTCAAGTAAAATCCCCAAAAGGATGGCAAGCGAATATGCTCAGTGAACCAGCTGGCACAAGTATTAAGACAACATCTGACCTGAACTGACATTTTCCCAACACAGCTGTGTGGAATAACATTAAAAACGAGATCTATTCAGCTCTCATGCTTTGATTTTGCCATCTTAGACTTTTCTGCCAGTGTCTCACTCTTCGCTCTTCTCCCATATGCTTACACATACAATTTGTTGTCTTTTTTATTCTTTCTGCCATGTGCCTCAGACTTTGAGTGAGTGACAGCCGTCTTTTGAGACACCTGGCCTGTGATGTCCCTGGAGAAACTGCAGCATTGCTTTGCCGAATGCCGCATGTTTTGATTGCCTCTTCCTTTCATAACAGTTGTCCAATTTCATGGCTATTAGGCTTGTTAATAGGAGCGGGGAGAAGAGAGAGCACAGAGCCCATTGGTGTGCTTGAGGTGGAACCTTTGATTAGAGGGGATGGATTGTGATGCTAAGAGACGGTGTCACATGTCACTTATGTATAGAAACTGATAGAGACGTGGCCGGTGCTGTTATTACCCATCGGGCCTTACTCATAAAGCCCAGTGATTGATAAAAGGTAACTCAATCTGACACGGTCCCTTGGGTGTAGAAGCATGAATGAAGCATTTCACAGAGTTTATTTTAGTTGCCCTTCTTAGAATTTGGGCAAACTTTAGCTTATTTATCATATTGATTGTTTCATAATATAGCCAAAAGTAATGCAGCCAAACAGCCAGAAAACTTTCATCCTACTCATTAAATTCTGTAATTAAAAAGAAATTAATAAAAAAAAAAACCTCAGTTACAGCCAATTATTTCAGCAGTATGATGTGCATTAGTTGTGGTCATTATCGACACTTTGCTTCAAGACCTTGTAAAAAAAAAAAAAATTTAAAAAAAAAACCCGAGCTAGAAGGAGAGCCATGCAAAATGAATGCTTTTATTCAATATTCCACATCACAGGTACAAATCTGCTTTAAATGGCTCCGGTACACTGGGTCAAGCTCAGAAACTGTGATCTGTGCTTTTAAAAAGCTTGGGAGGATTCCCGAAAGACAGAGTAAGTCATAGGAATATGCTAAAGCAGGAAGAGTAATTTAAACTGTGAATGTATAAATAAGGACTCATGATTAATGACTAAAATTAACATTGCTAAATTAGGTTTGTCTGAATATGTGTCCCAAAACACGATGCATGAAATCATTATTGCCCCAAGAGATGCTGCTAAAAATGAGGCTCCTGTGAGTCAGATGTGTATTGGCTATCATAGCAGAGTCCTGTGGATAAACAAACCAGTAAAGATTTTTAATGTTAGGCAAATGTGTTTGTATATTTTTCAAGTTTGTTGGTAATGTGGCCATTTATCGAACTTTTTCTCTGGTGAGAGAGTTGGTCTCTTCAGAGTGTTTACAGTAGTTGCGAGCTGTACAGATCAATACTTTACAAACAGCCAGCTGTCAGAGTTGAAGTGGCTGGTGTTTTAGGATTCATTGTTTCTGCACTGTTGAAAATTGTGTAGAGCAGCTCGCCGAGCCTCTCCTGTGAATCTATTGATAGAGCTGGCATGTCAAATCTTTTCATTCCGAGCTTGAAACTGAGACAGTTGTATGGTAATGCGGAGGGTCTCTCAACCACACAGTCTCGTTCAAAGTGAAACAGATTCCCCTTCCTGCGACAACAGAAAGCACACAGCTCCGCAATGCTTAACGGTGGGATCTCTCAATTAAAAATGAGATCTTCCCAAATGAGTCTGCAACAAAGACTTCACTTAAAACTGTCCATTGTGCAACAGGCCTCACTCTGATGGAAATCAAAGGACAGCAGTGGGATGATAAAACTGAATATTTATGGCCTTTTCCTGAACCAGAGATGTCCCCGAGTACTTTTGAGCCTTTTTAACAGCAGATGAAATTGCACTTGAAAGTTGTAGGCAGGTTGCTCGACAACTGAAATGAGGAGCTCAAGTGCCTTTTACTATTGTGAACAAATCACTGAACTACCTCTTTGGTCAATGACACATAGGTGCAGACTGGTGCATTTGCACACTCGTGCAAACCCAGAAGTAAAAGCTACTAATTATTTGAGCACTGCATCTTTAACCTTTAGTGTGTAGGGCACCGTTAAGGTTTAAATCTGTGTCTTTTTCTCTCACCCTGCTGCAGAATGCATGAGCTGTCTGCAGACGCTGTCGCTGAATCGTCTTTGGCTGCAGGGCTGTGAGCAGCTACCATGACGTACCCTAACACCAGCACGTTCACAGTCAACTTCACTGGAGCTTTGGACGGCCATGACTCCGGAGGAAACATCTACCGCCCCTTTTCTGTCTTCAGCGTTCTCACTCTCACTTTACTGGCGATGCTGGTGGTGGCCACCTTCGTGTGGAACTTGCTGGTGCTGGTCACCATCCTGAGGGTGAGAACGTTTCACCGAGTGCCCCACAACCTGGTGGCTTCGATGGCCATCTCAGATGTGATGGTGGCTGCTCTGGTCATGCCCCTAAGCCTTGTCCACGAGCTGAACGGCAGACTGTGGAAACTGGGGCGGGTCCTGTGCCAGGTGTGGATCTCATTCGACGTGCTCTGCTGTACAGCCAGCATCTGGAACGTGACGGCCATTGCGCTGGACCGCTACTGGTCCATCACCAGGCACCTGCAGTACACACTCAAGACACGCAAAAAGATCTCCAATGTGATGATAGCGCTCACTTGGCTACTGTCCTCTATCATCTCCTTGTCACCGCTCTTCGGCTGGGGAGAGACTTACTCAGAGGGGATGAAGTGCCAGGTGAGCCAGGAGCCTTCCTACACCATTTTCTCCACCTTTGGGGCGTTTTACCTCCCTCTTTGTGTGGTTCTCTTTGTTTATTGGAAGATCTACAAGGCTGCCAAATTTCGGATTGGCTCCCGCAAGTCCAACACAATCACACCCATGGCTGAGGTAATTACTTTAATTTTATATAATAACTCCTCACGTAGGTTACAGTATCACCGCTCTCCCTTTCCTTCATCAACCAGCTATTGCCTCTGACCTGCAAATATGGATTGCTGTGCGGTTATTTTTTATATTGGCTGATAAATTACTCTGATGTGATCAGGGAAACATAAGTATCCGGTGTGTGAGCATAAAGCCATCCTGCTCATCACCATCAGACTGTTAATGTGCGTAGGAAGAAGGTAGAAAACTATAAATACTACCTCCGGCATCTTTCATGAAACATGCATCTGGCTTTGGTGTTATTATAATCAGCAGATACAAAAGGTCTCTCCATTAAGCAAACATTTAATCAGGGAAGTTTTCTTTTCACTTGGGTTTACAACACATCAGTGATAGATTACGCTACTTTTACAGTTTTACAAAAACAATCCTTTTCCCTAAACTATGAAAGGCTACTTATAAAGTCATTTAGCATCCAGGGATTCTCAGGCTTTAGCAAGCAGCCACAGAAGCAAAAACAAAAACAAAAAAATGCAAAGTGTTGGGATTTTATTTATCTCATTTATTAATTTCATTTATTTAATGTCCATAATTTTCCCAATTCCTCAAGATACACATTTGTTATGCAAGCGTGACAAAATTATTAACTCTTGGTCAAGGAGGGCCGATCACCCAGTAAATTATCCACATCTGTTATTGCTTTGATGAACATTCGTGTCAAGTTTCATTACACAGACAATCATTCATCCAGCTATAGCAATTATACAACGCGGAATATGTTTAATTTGTGATTTTTGTTTTCCACAGACATATCCACCACTGGTTACGTTTTATGTCGCTCAGTATTTCGTCAAAGTTTGCTCTAATCATTTCCAAGCATACACCGAGCCCTCCAGTGTGCCTGCACCGATGTATGATGTGAGCAAGTGGCATCAGCATCCAAGATAATAAACTTCCTACACTGATCCATTAAAAACACCCACTCACACACATACATAAACACACAATGCACCAGAAATAGAGTTCACTGAGGTAAGATTCCTGACCTAGTTGCACAGATAACTTGAGAATGCCAAAAGCCTCAAGAAAATGGCTTGAATGACTCCACAAATCCTAATGCATCAGTCTTTTGGACTGTGTTCAAGCTTTCAGTAAAAATTTACTGTCAAACTGTGTTGACAGCATTTTATATTTTAGCCCAAACATAAAATAACTACACAAACATTAGCTGTAAGCCAGCTTCTTGTCCCTGTGCACTCACGAAACAGATTCTAAACTAATACGCTGATATTTACCTCGTGCAATCGCTTAAACTTACCTAAGGATTAATCATTGGATTAAACGCTTAAAAACGTGAACTTTTTACACATCTTAGACTCATTCACCTGCTGTATATAAAGGCATACTTGCAGTTATATAAGTGCCCATTTTAGCAGCTGCATCTTTTACTATTATATTGAACCATTTCTTAAATTATAAGCCCCCATGCCAGCGGCAATATGCTTTTAACTCCTGGCCTCTGCTGTAAAAGGATTTGCTTCGTCTATCTCATCCGTTATATTGTACAGTGACCTGTATTGATTCAACTAAATTTACTCCAGAGAGTAAAAGTTCCTGTACCGGAGTGCAGGTTCTTGCTTAAATGTTGTACAGGACACAACAGTCTAGACTGTTGTCCTTTCTGCTTTTCTTCCAACACATTTCGACAGATAGTTTGTCTTTATAAATGCTGCGACCTGAACTTAACCGGATGAACAAGAAATAACGTCGGCCTTGAGATCCACCAGGCGACAGTAAGAGAGGAGAAAGTCAGAGGATAAATGTTGACATTTCTCTTCCTGGCTGTGCTTGTGTTTGCAAAATGGAGAAAATGGGCTTCTGGAAACTGCAGATTAAAACACAGCTTTAGATTCACTGGCTTTAGATTCTCAGTGTGTGTGTGTGTGTGTGTGTGTGTGTGTGTGTGTGTGTGTGTGTG